CGGGAAACAATGGCCTTTCCCGCTTTGGTGCAGACTGCTGCTGCCAACAGCACCTGCAGGTGACACAGGAACAAAGGAGGACCGGTTAGCTATCTCTTCACACTCTTCACACATCTGTTTTCTCAACATTCTTCCTCTTCCACTGAATGGCACACTCAGTTCTTACTCACATAACTACTATTAGAATGACTTTCAAATTCTACCTCATAGTTCTTTTCATTATAGTAATTCATAAGACAAAACTAAAGTAGAGGAAAATGAAGCTGTTATTTCTATATTTCAATAATATACCTAAAGCAAACGTAGTAAAGAAATAATTTTTTCCAAATCTATAAATACATGAATGGACTTGCTGTGACTCCAGACGGGGTTGCTCTCTGCTTGGGCAGCCTCGTAAAGAATCATTTAGCCCTGACCAGGTAGTTCAGTTGGTTACAGCATCATCTAGCTACACAAAGGTTGCAGGTTTGATCCCTGATCAGGCACATACAAGAATCAACCAATGAATGCATAAGTAAATCAAACAATGATTCTCTTCCCCTTCCTCCCTCTCTCTAAAATCAATACATTAGCCCTAACTGGTTTGGCTCAGTGGATAGATCGTCAGCTTGAGGACTGAAGGGTCCCAGGTTCGATTCCGGTCAAGGGCATGTACCTTGGTTGCAGGCATATTCCCGGTAGGGGTGTGTAAGAGGCAGCTGATCGATGACTCTCTCTCATCGATGTTTCTAGCTCTCTATCTCTCTCCCTTCCTCTCTGTACAAAATCAATAAAATATTCACCAAAAAAAAAATCAATACATTAGCCCTAACTGGTTTGGCTCAGTGGATAGATCATCAGCTTGATGACTGAAGGGTCCCAGGTTTGATTCCTGTCAAGGGCATGTACCTTGGTTGAGGGCACATCCCCAGTAGGGGGTGTGCAGGAGGCAAATGATCAATGTTTCTCTCTCATCAATATTTCTAACTATCCCTCTCCCTTCCTCTCTGTAAAAAAAATAAATAAATAAATAAAAATCAATAATATATATATATTTTTAAATATATCTTATTGATTTTACACAGAGAGGAATTGGGAGGGATAGAGAGTTAGAAACATCGATGAGAGAGAATCATCGACAAGCTGCCTCTTGCACACCGCCTATTGGGGATGTGCCCACAACCAAGGTACGTGCCCTTGATCAGAATTGAACTTTCAGTCCACAGGCTGATGCTCTACCCACTGAACCACACCGGTTTCGACGCAAAAAAAATCAATAAAATATATTTTAAAAATAAAATCAATGCATTAAATTTTTTTTAATAGCTTAAGCTTTTTCTAAGAAGAACAGAGATTTTCACAGCCAAAACAGAGGTCTGATCACATACTAAAGGTTTAAGACAATCCTAGCCTTTGTTTTCATTTTTACCTATAACATGGAACCAATCTAGCAAGTTTAAATTTATCTCCTGCTCTTTTTTTTTTTTTTTTTTAAATATATTTTATTGATTTTTGTACAGAGAGGAAGGGAGAGAGATAGAGAGTTAGAAACATCGATGAGAGAGAGTCATCGATCAGTTGCCTCTTGCACACCCCCTACCGGGGATATGCCCGCAACCAAGGTACATGCCCTTGACCGGAATCGAACCCGGGTCCCTTCAGTCCCCAAGCCGACGCTCTATCCATTGAGCTAAACCGGTCCCGGCTATCTCCTGCTCTTTGATTAACTTTCCCATCCCACACTATCCTACTACAGATATGTAAACAATCTGTAAAATGAAAATCTAAATGACTCAATGCTCACACAGGTTTTGTCACTGGGCAATGATCAAGACCAACAGCCACTTTTGGAGTCTGGCATTTCATTAAACAAAACAAAGGAAGCACCAAAGGAAGATGGGGAGCACTCTGATGCCATTGGTGGGGGAGTAAGCACGTTAAGTACAATGTTTACAGTCTTTCTGGTGAGGGAACTCAAAAATTCACAAGTACAAGTAACAAAAAGACTATTTACACATTGGGAAGAAGCCTCAACGCTAAGATATGATCAATGAAATGTCAACATCCTACTGGCGAGCTTCTCAGCTTTACAGAAACCTGTTTTGTACAGGTGAGGAGCTTGAAGAAAAAACAAATTAGTTATTTCAAATAAATATTCTTATAGTTTCAATAATCAATACAATTTTATAATACCAAAGGAGAACACAATGTCCTTATTCACCAATTAGGCTATTTAGGAAATAATAACCCTCATGCTTTATTTTCAAGCAGTTAAGTGAAACAATTTATATTGGAAAAGTGATAGATACCTTATATAAATATTTTCCCTCTATTGAGTAGATTTTTATTTTTACTGATTGATTTATCAATCAGCTGTCCTGCTCTAGCAGGTTTGGCTCGGTGGATAGCACGTCAACCTGTGGACAGAAAGGTCCCAGTTTTCATTCCTATCAAGGGCACAGACCATGGTTGCAGGCTCCAGTCAGGGCACATGCGGAGGCAACCAGTCAATGTATCTCTCACATCAATGTTTCTCTTTCTGTCACTCCCCTTTCCTTCTCGTTTGGCTAAGTGGATAGAGCATTGGACTGTGGACTGAAGGGTCTAGGGTTCGATTCCAGTCAAGGGCATGTACCTTGGTTGTGGGCACATTCCCAGTGCAAGGTGTGCAGGAGGCAACAGATCGATGTTTCTCTCTCATCAATGTTTCTAACTCTCTATTCCCTCTCCCTTCCTCTCTGTAAAAAATTAATAAAATATATTTTTTAAAAACAATGGAAATATATCCTTGGGTGAGGATTAACAAAAAAGATAATAAAAATTATACAAACATTTTAATTGAGCCCTGGCCAGTGTTGGTAAGTGGTTAGAGCATCAGCCTGAGCACTGAAGGGTCTTGGCTTTGATTCCTGGTCAAGAACATGTACCTGGGTTGCAGGTTTGTTTCCAGCCCCAGGCGGGTGTATGCTGGAGACAACTAATGCATGAGTCTGTCTCACATCTCTCTCTCTCTCCTCTCCTCCTCTCTCTCTCTCTCTCCCCTCTCCCCCTCCCTCCCCCCTCCCCCCTCCCTCCCTCCCTTTCTCTCCTCTCCTCTCTCTCTCCTCTCCTCCTCCCTCCCTCCCTCCATCTCCCCCCCCCCCCCCCCCCCCCGTCTCTCTCTCTCCCTCTCTTCCTTCTTCCCTTTCCCTCAATGGAAAAAATACCCTCGGGTGAGAATTAACAAAAAATAAAAAAATTTTAAGTTACAAATAATTATTTTTCCATTCTTATATTTATGAAAAAAAAATCCAAATTCTTCACAAGCATCACCATCATTATCACCAGGCTCCCTTCTTGAATTACCAGTTTTCTAGAATTTTTATATAAAACATGTACATATAAGTTTTAAAATACTTTAAGAATACATTTCACTATCTGTGCTATACTCCTAAAAGTTTATATATTCCAAAGAACAAAAACTTTTCTTAATATTCTCATCAGGAAAATGGAAGAATTCTCAGGTATTTAGGATAAGCTAACATTCATTTCTCCTTTTTCCCAACAATTAAGTAAATCAGAAGTAGTGTTCTGAATTTGCAAAGAACCACTTTAATACACCAGAAAAACCAAATGACTAGGAGAAAATCTGGATTCTAGTTTTTGTTGTTCTACTTATTAACTGTCTGACCTTAAGTTACTCAACTGCTCTTAGCCTCAGTTTCTTCATCTATAAAATGGAGGATCATCTACCTACCTACCTAACAAGCTATTATGAGGGCCAAATAAATATGATGAAACCATAAGCCAAAGTATTATACAACTTATATCACATACATTCACAATGTAAAATAGCACTATTACTAATAATAAACTTGCCATGAAAGGCATTTCATTAAAAAAATTGTTACTTCAAGGCAACAAATTTTTACTTTTATGGGTTTGTCAACATTTAAAAATATATATATTTTATTGATTTTTTATAAAGAGGAAGAGAGAGGGATAGAGAGTTAGAAACATCAATGAGAGAAAGTCATCGATCAGCTGCCTCCTGCACAACCCCACTGGGGATGTGTCCACAATCAAGGCTCATGCCCCGACCGAAATTGAACCCGGGACCTTTCAGTCCGCAGGCCAATGGTCTATCCACTGAGCCAAACCGATTTCGGTGTTTGTCAACATTTTGATATTCAAATAATGGACACAGACTCCCTATAAAATTTACTTAAAATTTCTGGGAATTCATAGATTCTCTAAAGCAGTAATTCTCAAATGGCCCATAGAAAATCACTTTATACAATGAGAAATCCTATATAATAAAAGGCTAATATGCAAATCAACTGAATGATGGAACAACCAGAATGACCAGAATGACTGGTCACTATGACTCGCACTGACCACCAAAGGACAGACACTCAACGCAGGAGCTGCCCCCTGGTGGTCAGTGCGTTCCCACAAGGGGAGCGCCACTCAGCCAGAGCTGGACTCACACCTGGTGAGCGCAGTGGCAGTGGTAGGAGCCTCTCCCCCCTCTGAGGCAGTATTAAGGATGTCTCACTGCCAGGGAGAGGGCCTAAGCCATCAGTCGGACTTCCCCCGAGGGTTCCCGGACTGCAAGAGGGCGCAGGCCAGGCAGAGGAATCTTCCCCCTGCCCTTCACAAATTTTGTGCACCAGGCCTCTAATATCATTAGAAGAACTAACTAACTATTTACTGAAGGGCTACTATACACACTAGATATTCTCTGAGAATATTAAAAGGAACTAGCTTGGTATTCTTCCCTCATTTTATATTTAAAAAATTTTTAATCACCACCAGAAGATATGCTTTTTTATTGATGGGGGGGAGGGGGTAGAGAAACATCAAGTGGTTGCCTCCCGAACATGACCAGGAATGGAACCTCCAACCTGGGTATGTGCCTGATTGGGGACCGAATCTGCAGCCCAACCTTTTCGTGTATGGGAGGAAGTGTCAATCAAATGTGCCACCGAGCCAGGGCTATAAAATTTTAATTAAAATTTTCTTTTTTTAAAAAATTTATTAAAAATATGAAACATTTCACGAATTTGCATATCATCTTTGCGCGGGGGCCATGCTAATCTTCTCTGTATCATTCCAATTTTAGTACATGTGCTGCCGAAGTAAACACTAAATTAAAAATTTCTATAAAAATTTTCATAACTAATTAACATCATAAGAGATGACTTGTTGTGATCATTTCCCAAAATATATAAATATTGAAACATTACATTGTACACCCAAAACTAGCATATCTCAGTTATACCTCAATGGGGGGGAAAAAAAAAAGGCCTAATAGGGAGAAGATAAACCTATACAACTGTAATACTAGGTAGGCAGACTGTCAAGTAATATGCTATGTGAATTCAGAGGAGGAAGACAGTACTTCTAAATGGTAAGATCAGGGATGACTTGATAGAAGAAATAGCATTTAAACTATGCTTGATGAATTGGGGGAACAGTAGGGACAAAAAAGTAGGTTCTAAGCAGGAAAACTCTGAAACTCTCTTTGGGTCATCCCATTATCCACATAAAAGCAAATAAGACTCCCAAAGTAAGACCAAAATGCCCTCACACTAAGTATGGCTATAAACCTTGAAACACCCAACACACCCCAAACCACAATTACAGGTCCATGAAGCTTTACGTTTTCTATTCACGGAGTTATGCATAGCTGGAAGGTATGGCCCCCTCTAAACAAGATAAATTTAACCTATTCTAAATTAATACTCATCCTCTTAAATGCTTTGAAGTAATAAAGCTCCTCTTCACATAATGTTTACTGATGTTTAATAATTATAATATACAGTATAAGATATATAGTACATGCTAAAAGGTAAATTACTGTTTCCTACTATAACTTGATCTGATATTCTTTGGGGAAGACTAAGTATGATTCCCATGAAATTGTTTCACTTATTGTTTACATTTTGGGAAAAGAAGATCTACACTTATAATAAACTTATCGGAGCCCTTGATTGTTTTCTAGATGTAAAAAATCTAGGTCACAGAAAGGATCTCTCCAGAACAGTTAAAAAAAAAAATCACCTGGCCAATGTGGCTCACTGACTGAGCATTGACCACTAACCAGGAGGCCACAGTTCGACTCCGGTAAGGGCACATGCACAGGTGTGGACTCCATCCCCAGTAGGGAGGTTGCAGGAAGCAGTCTACCAGTAATTCTCTCTCGCCGAAACCGGTTTGGCTCAGTGGTAGAGCGTCGGTCTGCAGACTGAAAGGTCCCGAGTTCGATTCTGGTCAAGGGCATGTACCTTGGTTGCGGGCACATCCCCAGTGGGGGTGTGCAAGAGGCAGCTGGTCGATGTTTCTCATAGATGTTTCTAGCGCTCTCTCTCCCTTTCTCTGTAAAAAATCAATAAAATATATTTTAAAAAATAATAATTCTCTCTCATAACTGATGTTTCTCCTATTCCTCTCTCTCCCTTCCTCTCTGAAATCAATAAAAATGTGTGTGTTTTTTAATCCTCCATTGAGTTGAGCTTTGTCAAACAGCTTTTCTCTTAAAATATACATACAATGATGTGGTTTGCCAGTCCTTTGTTTTTGGATTAAATAACAACTCTCCCCTAACCAGATTTAACTATAGATCAGAAAGTTCCTTGAGTAAAGAAATAAGGAGAATTAGGTTTCTGTTATGCTATGCCACTAATTATATGACCTTGAATAACTCACTTAATCGCTTCTTGAAATAGCCTTAAATTAGACGTTAGCTTATATGAAATCTAACATGCCTTTGCATCTTTAACATTCCAAAAGTCTGAGTATTTGGAAACTTTACAGCAACAGAAAATGTACGATGTATCCACTTCACACACACTGCTCCAAGAGTAACTACTTTGGAACCTATTTTACAATAATGTTAAGCTGCTAGATGGCAAATTGCCTAACCGAAACAAATCATGTGTGAATAGTATTTGTGTGGGTTAGAGATGGGTGCCCATCATCCCTTCATCCTACCAGTAACAGCAGTCTAAGAGTAACAGGCAGTAATTAGTCATAAATATATGCACAATTCTCTAAAGAAAAAATGTCAAGGACATTCTCCAACCCCTAACTGCTTCAGTATTCCTCACTTCCAGAATTAAGTAGCCACTTTCTCCATCATAATTCATGATCATATTAAGGATAGTTTCTACAATTGTCATAGAGGACCATTTTGTCTTTGTATGAAGTAATCACAGATTTTAAAAAAGGGAAGATTAAAATAAAATCCAGACCATATACAAAACCTACAACTAGCCAGGTCCGGTTTGGCTCAGTGGATAGAGCGTCGACCTGCGGACTGAAAGGTCCCGGGTTCGATTCCGGTCAAGGGCATGTGCCTTGGTTGCGGGCACATCCCGAGGGGGGTGTGCGGGAGGCAGCTGGTTGATGTTTCTCTCTCATCGACATTTCTAGCTCTCTGTCCCTCTCAATTCCTTTCTGTGTAAAATCAATAAAATATATTTAAAAAACAAACAAAACAAAAAAAACCTACAACTAGAAAATTTACTGAGAGTTTTAAGCTAATCACAAGTTTTTGTTCTGAAACAAAAGCTTGTAGGGAACAATAATAATAGGACATCATTCTTAGCTTCCATAGTGAACTTCCTATTTGAATAAATAAATGGCAAATCAGTAGAAACTCAAAAAAAATCACTTTCATTTTTTTGTTGTACTCTCAAATAATAAAAAAGATACATCAAGAATACAATAGCCGAAACTGGTTTAGCTCAGTGGATAGTGCACATGTGTCAAACACAAGGCCCGTGGGCCAAATCCGTCCCGCCAGGCCTTGCAGTGTGGCCCGCACCGCGCTGTCATCACTGCACTCCACTGCGTTTCCATCACAATGACAGTTTATGACTGTTCAGTAAACCATTCGGCCCGCAATTTAGGCTGGATTTTAGATTTTGGCCCCTTCTCTGATTGAGTTCGACACCCCTAGGATAGAGCATCGGCCTGTGGACTGAAAAGTCCCAGGTTCGATTGCAGTCAAGGGCATGTACCTTGGTTGCAGACACATCCCCAGTGGGGGTGTGCAGGAGGCAGCTGATCGATGTTTCTAGCTTTCAATCCCTCTCCCTTCCTCTCTGTAAAAAAATCAATAAAATATATATATTGTATATTTTTTTAAAAATTCAATAGCTGTGCAGTTGCTGTGTTATAAATGAAAAAGAGGGGGGAAAGCAATAATCCTCTAATTGGGAACAGTTATTACAGTGTAGGATTTCAGTTCCTCCCCCATCATGTGTAGGTCAATCATACAAACCCAAATCTAGCTTTTTAATAACTTTTGGGAACTGAACTTAATGTGATCACTTTTACTTAACGTGGACACTATAGTAAGTTTACTCAATGCCTATCCTATATAATAAAAAGATAACATGCAGATTGGCCAAACTGCAGAACGATTGGTCGCTATAACACGCACTGACCAAAAGGGGGAAGATGCTAATGCAGGAGCTGCCCCCTGGTGGTCAATGCACTCCACAGGGGGAGCGGCGCTCAGCCAGAAGCCCATCTCACCAGCAGGCTCACACTGCATCTCCCCCCTCTGCGCAGGCGGACATCCCCCAAGGGTTCCCGCACTGCGAGAGGGCACAGGCTGGGCTGAGGGACCCCTCCTCCCTGCCATGCACTGGGCCTCTAGTACTTAAATAAGGAAAAATACAGTACTTTGTAGAAAAGCAAATATTTTACAGATTGGAGTTACAATAAGACTTAATATCAAATTCATTAAGAAAAAATGACTATCATGATACTTACCAATGTTAAGAAAATAAGAGCATGTTCTGATTAATTTGTAGAAAACTAGAAAAAAAAAAGATGCCCTTTTTATACTTATATTTCTTTTTTATAACAAGGTCATAATAAGCCGTGTGTTTTTGCATTTGTTCATTTATTTCTCTACTAGGACTTCACAGCATAGGATGTTTTGTACTAATTTCAGTGACGAAAGCCAAAGGAAATCTATTTTTTAAAATCTATTTTTATTACTTATTTCAGAGAGAAGGGGGGAGAGAGAGAGATATAGAGAGAAACATCAATGATAAAAGAGAAACATGGATCGGCTGCCTCCAGCACATCTCACATTGGGGATCTAGCAGCATCTCAGGCATGTGCCTCAACTAGGAATTGAACTGTGACCTCCTGGTTCATGGGTCAATGCTCAACCCCTGAGCTACTCAGCTTGGCAAAATAATTTTTTTTTCATAGATCAACCTGTATCCATAAGACTTAAATGTAAATCAGAAAACCATAAAAATTCTGGAAGGAACTATAGGCAGCAAAATCCCAGATCTCGTAGCAATATGTTTATGAATACATCTCCTAGGACCGTGGTCGGCAAACTACGGCTCATGACCCACATGCAGCTCTTTGGCCTTTTAAGTGTGGCTCTTCCACAGAATACCACAGCCTGGGCGAGTCTATTTTGAAAAAGTGGCGAGTCTATTTTGAAAAACTTAAATTTAGAAATTTAAATTTTAAAAATTTGGCTCTCAAAAGAAATTTCAATCGTTGTACTGTTGATATTTGGCTCTGTTGACTAATGAGTTTGCCGACCACTGTCCTAGGGCAAAGGAAACTAAGGAGAATGTAAACAAATGAGACATCAAAATAAAAGGCTTTTGCCCAGCAAAAGAAACCCATCACCAAAACAAAAAGAGAGCCGGCTGTATGGGAGAACATATTTGGCAATATGTTCTGATAAAGGGTTAATACCCAAAATATATAAGGACCTAATACAACTTCACAGAAGTATGATAAACAATCCAGTGAAAAAATAGACACTTCTCCAAGTAGACATATAGATGGCCAAGAGACATGAAAAAAATACTCACTGATCATCAATGAGATACAAATCAAAACACCACCTGTCAAAATGGCTACTATCAACAAATCAACAAATGACAAGTGGTGGCAAGGATGTGGAGAAAATGGAATCCCTGTGCACTGCTGGTGGGAATGGTGCAGTCATTATGAAAAAGAGTATGGAGTTTCCTCAAAAAGTCAGTCAGAGAACGACACGTATCACATGATCTCACTCATATGAGGAATCTAATGAGCAAAATAAACTGGTGGACAGAGTGGACCCAGAGCCATGGGGCATGGCACAGAATGCGGAGT